TTGCGAGGTTTTCCATTGTGGAATGAGAAGTGAAATTTTCTGACTAACGAAATTCCTTAGGGCGCATTTTGAGATTGACAAGTGGGAATATTTCTAGATAATGTAGTTTTGGAAGGTTAACAAATATCGCTTCAATAAATTGATGGATGTAGCCGTTACTATGTGGTAGGAAATCATAATGAAGGAAGAGAATTGAATCTTTCTGTTTTTCACCACATTTATTTGTAATTGATGTTACTTCAGTTTCATCCTATAAAGACATTTTCAAACTTATACGTTACTACGTGGTAAGAAATCATAATGAAGGAAGAGAATTGAATCTTTCTGTTTTTCACCACATTTATTTGTAATTGATGTTACTTCAGTTTCATCCTATAACGACATTTTGAAACTATACGTTAAACTCGTTTCTGTTAATGCAAAAGGTCGAATGTGAGAAGTGTGCAAATCAATAGAAAGCATGAAATCTCATTATATCCTAATGATTTATCGGCATTTTTCCTATTCTTTCATGGAAATCGCAGAAAAATACTTCTATCAGTCAAGTTTTAATGCTCACTTGTAGAGTGCCCAGTTTTCAAATACATCCCCTTATTTTCACTAATCCCTATAAAAATTCCAGCTATCTTTTCTGTCTGATTATTGAAAACAAAGATTTTGAGTAGCCAGAAAAAAGCTCCGTTCTCCAGATGAAGATTTCATGTACTTTTCGTTACTTTGAGATACAGGCCGTTTCTTTTATCATGTGGTAACATTGCTATATTCTAAACTGTAACAGATACGAAGACGATTGAACGGGATAAAAATTAACTGTCATCGGAAACATCAGAATGTTAGAAGAAAATTCAACGGAGACCTTCTCGAGTTATACGGTGAAAACCAAAAATGCTGTTTTTCGTTTTTTACGAATGGAATTGTTAATTCGAAAAGTGTCAAAGAATGGAAAAAACTATTATTTTATTCGAAGTATACTATGACGATGTAATATTACATATTAGATAAAACGTTTCGTGTCAACATGGTAAACGGACCTGTCTTTTTTATTACAGATGTTGGTGAAGCGATAAATTCACAATCCAAGGGTATATCAAATTTGATATTTTTTAGCGTTTCAGTTGAAATAACCACCATCATTAGTGGCAACAATTTTAAATTAGTCTTGTCGTTGATTCTTTTGTAAATTGTTCCGATGTCATCAAAATATAATTTAGACAACCCAATAAATCGACAGGTAGGAACCCTAACACAATGAAATTTTGTACTTTTTCGTTTTGGAAATTTTTGTATTGCCGTAATCCTTCTTTCAAGGCTTATTTCTACCTAATCAATTATTTCGGCTATTTTTGAAAGATCTTCGAATAGATTCCCGTTGGAAAATAGCACAATTGCTAATTTTCAGTTCCTTAACACAATTTACGGAGGTTGTAAATTGAAAAGCTTCAACAATTATTGGGAAATTTTTTTCAACTATCGTTCCGTTATCATCAGAAGGTAAATGATAATGATTTCCAAAATATTTTATGTGCTAATCTTGAAAAAATAGTTATGAACAAATTCGTTTTTCATAAGATAATTTCATAATGTTGGTATTACATGTTAAAAGGTAAGACCCCGTTAATCCTTAGCTCGCACAAGTTTCGACTTCTGAGTGTTCGTAGGGGTGCGACAGCTGGTTAACGGAAAAACAAAATGTATTGTTTAGGGTGAAGTGTTCAATGAATGAACAATGAAAATTTTAATGATTTTTTATTTCTTAGTCACCGTTTCCAAAAAAAAAATAGAGAGATTAGCTAAAAGACGTCTTGTATAACTCTGAAAGGGGACAATTATTTTTAATTTTCTGGAATTCCTGATTCACCAGTAGTATAAATATTTAATTTATTTTTTTCAGAACAGATCTAATGAGATCTTCATCTTTTGATTGACACTTTTTGATATATCGTGATCACCAAATATTTCAATAAATTTCTGAATGAGCTTTGAAAAATTTGATTAACATTTTATTTCTCTCTCTCTCCAATTTGATATATTTACCTGAATGGAATGAAGATTTCTGAATACCTCCTCTTGGGTCTATGATATAAATTGACACTATGTGATTGAATTCTTCATTAGTATATGTGATATTGTCCTGGAAACATCTTAATTTTGGTATCAATTGTGTGATAGTGGCGTTTGGCAAAATTGATTTTCTTGTTTCGTAGAATGGAGTTAAGTGTCCAAATATTTCGTCCGTGGCAAGATGTACGGAAAAACAAATCTCAAGAAGGTAATTTATTTCTTACCTCACTGATCTATGACATTTTCTAGGTTCCACTGAAAAGAAATCTTGTAATATAGACGTTTCAGTACAGTATAAGTGATAGAGATGAAACATCCGTTCAATAAATTCAAATTTGCAACTAGGCGACTTTTGCAGGTTTTTTCATTCTGGTATAAAAAATGGAATTTTCTGAGTAACAGAATTCAAAAGAGGTCATTTTGAGATTGACAAGTACGAGTATTTCTAGATGATGTAGTTGCTATTTTTCAATTTTTTGTTGATAACAAATCCAGGTTAAAAATTGAAAATCTTCATTGATTTTCGGAAATTTTTTTTTTCAATATCTCAAAATCGAACCCTTATAACCAGAAGCTACATAAAAATGATTTTTAAAATGTTGTATCCGCTATTGTTGAAAAAATTGTTACAAGTGAATACGTTGTTTATAAGAGTATTCAAAAATGTTAGAAACATGATCATTGATGGAACTTATTATTTGTTAAAAAAAAATTGCCAATTGCCAATTTTATTTCTCAGCTATCAATGTGCAAGATACATCATCATTTTATAGAGTAGTAGAAAAAATTGTTGATTAAGAAATCAGGTTTTGAGTAATGAAAAAGTTAAAAATGATTTTTTTAATCATTATTTGCATCAGAGGCTATGCTTCCAAAATTTGTTTTCGAATTATCTCAACAATTTTTTGAACAATAGCAGATGAAAATTTTTGAAAAGCATTTTCATGTAGCTTCTGATCATGAAAGAAACGGGTCGATGGTGAACTTGAAAAAATATACTTTCCATGGATAGTGAAGCTTTTTAGTTTTAAACCTAACTAAATTGTTGATAACAAATTGAAAAATTACAATTTTTCCATTTTCCCAACGGAAAACTGTTCTGAGATTTTTGACAGCAAATTATCGTTCATTGTAGTTGTCTGGATTCCTTTCAATTCTCAAATTTGAGATTCAATGAGTTGAAATAATATTTTTTCATTGAAGGACCAAAAGTGGGCGTGTGTTGCGCAAATCAGAGTACAGTTTGTCAAGAATAGGAAAAATGGTAAAATTTTTGCGGCCTGCGTGTAACGAAGAACTAGAAAGCATTAGGAGAAACAAAAATGCACATATTTACTATTGAAGTTGTGTCTGCTCAGTACAGATGTACAGTCTCCTGAATAAACTGGAAAACCAATGTACAAAGTCCCCAGTATTAGTCCCTCTCATTATTGAATTCAAAATAATTTTGGTCGAGACAGGAAACGAGATAACGTGTTCAATTATGGGATTAGTATTCTTTTCAGTTAGAAAATTATGAATAATTGTTATGCCATTATTCGGAGAAATGTTTGGAATGAATAAATAAAACTTGCTTTGAATTAGAAGGTTGCTTTTATTTTACTTTTAAATATATTACAAATGAAACAATACAAAGCAAAAAATTACAAAAGGCAAAAAACGCAAAAATTTGAGTAAAAAAATTTGATCTTAATCTTCGGAGGATGAATCTTCGCTAAGGTCTGAACTGATGTAATCTGGTTCAGTGTTACTATCTTCTTGCAAGTTGATTATCATGTCGTCTATCATGAAATTTAAAGTTGGTTCCTTCTCCATAGAAAAGTGTTCAAAACTTTGAGCATGCTCATATCGTTTTTTCCACTCAGTTTCATCGCATAATCTTTCTACGGTTTTTAAGCTGAAATCTACATTTTTTTTTGTGCAACAAATTGTTTCAAACACGCCCACACTAACTCTACAGGATTTAAGTCAGGGTGGTATGGAGGAAGCCTTAGAACGGTATGCCCGTGGACGCTCATAATTTCATTAATTTTATACATTTTTTATCGCGGTATTTGAATTTGATTAGCCATTTCATCATTTCGATCTTTTTATTACATAAGGTAGGAGATTTATTCATGTGCACATTGTGATAGGGAGCATTGTCTCTTTGGTGGTAAATTAGGAATAAGCATCTCCTGTAGCCATTTTATATAATTCTGGAATTTCATCTCGTTATGATAATAACCTGACTTCGTATTTGATCTGAATTTCAAATGAGCATTTTTCACAAAACCAGTTTTCACTGGTCGCGTTCACTATTATTAGTCTTTGCCCTTTTGATTCTGGTTTTTGATTATGGGCCGTTTCTCTTCTCGAAATTTTTTCATACTTATATACGCAAAAACTGAACGATATCTGGCTTTTCCATTAATGATTTTCAATTATTTTTCGTTTTTCTCCAACGAAATCCCATGTCATGCGCAACTTTTCTCAAGTTTTCATAGGAACCAGCATAGTTATTTTCGGATTAAAATTTATGCGCAGAAGAGTTGGAACCTTCTTATCGACAGTATAATAATTAATAATGAATCTTCGAAGCAATCCTTTATCAAAACCATCTAAGTTAGTTTTAGCTGCGGCTTTCTTTCTTTTTATATTTGGTGTCAAAAAAGCAGCGGCTTCTCCATTCTCAATCGATTTCATTCCCTTTGGATTTTTTTGTATACTGTTTTAACTTAGGCCAGTTGCCATAGCAGCTCTTTTTTGAACTTAATAGGTTCATTTTCTGCCGCTTCTTGTTGCCTAAAAAATTACTTCGACTATAACTTCCCTCGTTTGACTTGTCAGCACTTAACAATCAAGTTTTGATTTAAACTCCATCCTGGTTAAGTTACAATACTCAAATTGTACCCTTTACGCTTTATTTCTGCTCGGACTGTACACTCGATTAACCCGCGATGCTCACTTCACAACAGACAAATCCGACTGACTGGGCTGTGGGTATTTCCACTCCTGTCTTCTGCGCACAGCTAAGATGGTCTCAAATTAAGATTTTGAAACTTTTTGCTATTCTTGACAAACTGTATCTCATTCAGGACGTATTTTCAACCTTCTGGGAAAATTTCAAATATTATTTTCACAGTTCTAAGGCAATATTTTCTTTTTTTAAAATCTCTTTTCGAATTCGGAAACTGTTAAATTGTTCTTGAGATATTTGCAAAAACCAATATTTTTTTTTCAGTTAACTGTTTGTAGCTTCTGCAATTTTTGCAAGAGCAATTGAATTTTTCAAATTATTATCTGCACGCTATCTCGAATCGACTGACACTTCGTTTATATTTTTCGAACGCTGAATGTTACTAATAATAACTTTTACTTCGAACCGTTCCATGAAAGCCTCCATTTCAAAAATTTTTTTGGATTAAGTAATGTTTTCACAGCGAAGGTTTTATGTCGGCAGAATATTTTTGTATCTCAACTTCAATACCTTTATTTTTCAGGTTCCAATGCTAGCTCAAAAAGTCATGTGGTCTGTAGAAACGAGGTGCTGCAGTCCGCAAACAACCAATATGTAGTCATTCAGTTTCTCGGTAAAGGTTCTTTCGGACAGGTTGTTAAGTGCTGGAAGAAAGAAACTAACGAATTTTACGCAGTCAAAATTCTCAAGGATAAGTTTGCTGAAAGCAAGGAGGTGAGTAGATCAGTTTTTTGGCTGACAAAATTTTGATTTGATAACCAGTTGAACGGAGTCCATCTACTTTTTTTGTCATGAATCAGAAGAGTTTGAAATTTCTTTTTGTATTTGTGGAATGATCTGAAAGATGAAAAAATATGTTCAAGTGGCACGGAGGGATTTTTGGGGGAAAAATATCCATTACACGTATATTTCACAAAAAAATTCATATAGTTGCACTTCATTGTGAGATTTTCTCTGAACATTTCATGAAACCATGACATGTGTTACTGTACGTTAGCCAATAGTTGAATCAGTTTGTGGAACACAATAAACGAAAAATACTTGATATGTGAAGTATGTTATATGAACGAACATGAGAAAGCACATATATAGGAAAACAATTCTAGAGCAGATCCTGATTTGAATCTTGCATTTTTCAAATTTGAGAAAAGTTTCAGAAAAAGAAGGAAATACTTCGAAGGAAGTCTAACCTTCCGGAACTATAATACCAATATTGATGATTTTCTCAGGGGGTTGAAAATATGTCCTTGAATGGGTACTCTGGACCTTCATTGAAAAAATATTATTGCAACTTATTAGATATCAAAATCAGTTATTGAAAAACTTCAAGCATCTACGGGATGAATGAATGAACAATAATCCGCTGTAATAAAATTTTATTGCATACATTTTCTTTGAGTTATTTCTGAAAGGTCTCAAAGTCTATTTCCGTTGAAAAAAAAAAACAAAAATTAACTCGACTTGAAAATTACACCCACTTCTTATTGTTTATCAACGACTTACTGGAAAAAACCAAAATTCCAGTGTTTTCGAATTGTTGTGAAAGTAATCAGGTTCAATTCGATGCCACAAAAACCCAGGCATCGGTTTTCTCCGAAAAGTTAAATGTCTCCGAACCGGATATAATAATGTCAGGTCAGACAATTTCGCTTTCTGCTTCGATAAGTTTGATGGGATTTAAAATGGACACCAATATGTCTTGGCACAATCATGTCGCTGGAATTGCAAAGGCTGCTTCTCAAAAGCTTGGAACACTGTTCCGAACCAGAAAACTGTACACACCTCAGCAACTTTTGATGCTTTATGAAGCTCAGATCAGACTTTCTTTGGAGTATTGTTCTCATGTATGGAGCTCCGCCCTCAAGCATACCCTGAAGCTGCTGGATTCTATCCGGAAAAGAGCCATCCGCCTAATTGGAGACGCGAACATCACTTGTAACCTTGATAGCATGGAACATCGAACAGAGTTTAGAGATGTATATATCGAAAATCTATTCCATAACCTTTCAACAATAGTTCTTGTTTGAGTAAAAAAAAAACTCAATTAAATAATGCATAATCATCTGGAAAATCACGAAAAAAGTTTTTTGACCGCGAATTATTATTCATTCATTTATCCAGTGAGTTCCTGAATTTTCGCAATTCGTAATTGTTGAAATAATATTTGAAAAATTATAAATATTTGTCCTACAGATGCGGAAGGAACAGTCGGACTTTCATTTGGGAAATTTCTTTCCCTATTTTTTTTTTCAAATTTGAAAAATGTCTAATAGTTTTTGAGATGTTTGCAAAAAAACAAACTCTCCATTTTCAGTCAATTGTTTATAACGTTAGCAATTTTTGCAAGGGGCACTTGATTTCTTTCAAAAACCATTTACACGCTATTTCGAATCGAATGTCACCTGGTTTATATCCTTCGGAGAAGGAAGAAAAAATTATTTTACCATTTGACAAAAACTCGACAGATGATTTCAGAGATATTGTTAGTTTCAATAAATTGAATAGATCATTGACACGTTATTCGCCAATTAACTGTTTGTTCGAACAAAATATGACCACTTATTGAAATAATTGTTTTCTTTTCAGGCTCGAAACGAATTCAATATGTTGTCCAGAGTCAACGTTGACTCAAAGTTATACTTCGTAGAGGTATTTGAATGCTTTCAGTATAATCAGCACACGTGCATTGTAACTGAACTGTTGGAGCAAAGTCTGTTTGACTTCGTCAAACATCAAAATTTCAACCCTCTACCACTTTCAGTCGTCAAGATCATACTGCGGCAGCTTCTGCTTGGATTGAATGTACTCAAGGTAAGATTTCTTGTCACTATGGATAGTTGTCAGATGAAATTAATTCGTCAAATGTCTGGCAAAATGAACTAAAATTTCATTTTTATTATAATTTGTAAGTTTTCATGATTATCTGTATCTGTATCTGAAGAGTAGATAGGGTGAGTGTGAGCCCACAGTACTTATGCCACACGTGACCCATTGAACATCTTCCCAAGGAGTTGTCCTCCTAGGTCATCGTCAATCTTGTCCAGGAAGGTGGACAGGTCACTGGGAGACATCTCCTTTATATCGGCAGGTGTAGGCCAAGACTCACCGAACGCACACTCTCTTATTGACGATGAATCTGGGCACTCGCATAGGACATGCCTGACAGTCTCATCTTCCTGTTCACACATCCTGCATAGAGGTGTGTCCACTAGCCCCACATTATGGAGGTGTTTCCTCAGTTGACAGTGACCAGTTAGAAATCCTACTGTAAGGCGTGGATTTTTCCTGTTCATTGCCGAATATTACTTCGGCTTCAGCTTCCCAAGGTCGCCCAAAGTGATCCCGGTAAGATTACATGCTTTGATTCCATCTCATCTCTTCAAGGATTGAGCTTGGATGTAAAAATTGACTAGTTCCGCAATTGTCGAAGTCATCAGGCCGTAGGTGCCACTGGGTCCTGAAATTCTCAGTCCAGCTGCTTCCTTGACTGAAGAGTCGGCAATGCGATTACCTTCACTCCTGTTATGCCTCTTAACCCATCTCAGGATAATGTTATCATCCACCGAGGCTTTGGCTAAATCTTGGTGATACTCTAGTACCAGCTCTGAGGTTATACGTTGTCTGTTCGAAGCTAATAGGACTTGTCTGCTGTCAGTACAGATTGTTATGTTCTTGCCAGAAATTTCTTTTGTGGCGATTGAGATACCAGTCAGTTCTGTTTGGACCACGCTGGTATTAATCCCCATTCCCCACTTGATTTCTGGGCTCAGTGATCTGGGGTACACTCCACACCCTGAGCCTTCTTTGGTTTTTGAGCCGTCTGTATAAATCCGTATTGCATTTGTATCATCTGACTTTATGTTCTGCTCAATTTGTATCTGGTAGGGTTTATTAAACACACAACTGTGTTCAATTGCATCGCTTGTTGCCTGTAGCAGAGGTTGCGCAGTTAGCGCTTCACGACATAGGCTCAGCCTCAATTGACCTATTCCTACTTCGAAGTTTACACCAGCCATGTGCAATCGACCCATGGCTATAAACGCAACCTCCCTAACGTACAGATACAGAGGGGTCAGACCTGTGATTAGTTCCATTGCCGCGGTTGGTGTTGCTCTCATGGCTCCTGTGATGTTTAAACAAGCCAGTCGCAATATTTGATATAATTTTTGGATGCCCGTTGCTTGTGGAACTTTCGGTCCCCATGCACTGGCTCCATATGATAACATAGGTTTTATTATTGCCGTGTAGATCCAGGTAACCACACGGGGTGAAAGACCCCATGCGCGTTCCACTGTCCTCAGACATTGCTCATAAGCCACGTATGCTCTTTTTGCGCTACTCTGTAGATGAGAGTTCCATGTTAGCTTCCTATTGAGGATACTACTAAGGTATTTTACCTCTTCAGAGAAGTTTAGTTTGCTTTTGAAGATTTCGGGAGGTTTTAAGCCCGATAAACTTCTTTTCCTGGTGAAAAGGACCATCTCAGTCTTCTTGAGATTGATCGACAGTGAGTGTTCCTTACACTCACTGCCCGTCCTGCGCTCTCTCGCACATTGTGTTTATGAATTTGCCGGTCTGAAAGATAACTATGTCATGTGCTTATGCAATATTGTGGATTCCATTTTTGTTCAGGTGATTATTCCGGGTATCCATCACCACTGAATTTTTTTGATTCCATAGAGGAAGCCTGAAAATTAGCTACCAAGCCCAATGCAGCAGGCGCGCAAAGGAGGGTTACAAATGAGGCAAAAGCCGCGCGTGTTAATAAAAAAATACTTTTTCCACATGAAAAATACATGTAAAGTGAGTTCGAATTATATCAAGGAGGTTACGTATAGAGCCATCTGCCCGCGAATAGATCAAGCAATAATGTCAATTATTCCGTCAATACAGATCGCGAGCTTGAGAGTTAGAAACAAACATACATACATAGATACAGGTGAAGCTAATGAAAGGGCGTTTTATGCTATCGAAGTAATTGGATCAAAGAAATTGCAGTAAATTTTGTGTAAAAAGGGAAATTTACTCAGAGTCAGAAGAATGTTTACAAGAGTACAAGCTTTTCACAATGAATTGAAAATATATGAATGACGACACTCGCTCTGAACGCCCCAGCACATCTACAATCGATGAAAATGTTGAAGAAGTGAAGAAAATTTTTATGGAAAATCGTCGAAACACTATTAGACAAGTTGCTGAGAATTTCGGCATATCGGTTGGCTTATGTCATGCAATTTTTCCGGAAATTCTAGGCGCGAAGTATGTGGCAGCGAAATTCGTTTCAAAATTTCTGGATATTGAGGGAAAAAAACGTCGCATGGGCATCGCTCAGGAATTGTTCAATGACGTCAACGGCAATCCAAATTTATTTGAAAGGGTCATACCTGGTGACATCGAAATCAAAGTCCAGTCGTCTTATTGGACAAGCCCAGGAGAGCCAAGACAAAACGAGCACGTCAAGTTTGATCAAATGTCAAGGTTTTGCCCACTGACCAGAAAGAACACCACAATTGCTCCCCTGCAACTTTCTTCTGTTTCCAATGTCAAAGAGACCCATGAAAAGACGGCATGTTGCGACGATTAAGGATATAAAAACCAAGTCGCTGAGAGATCTCAAAGACTCACCAAAAAGTTCATATCAGGACTCCTTCGAGGATTAGTAAAAATGAGTATTATATATAAGGGGAAAGAGAGACAAAATAGAAATTGATGAGCAGATACATATTTTTGAGGAAAATGAATAGTCACGTTTATTTTTTAACAGACCTTGTATGATTCCGAAAATATGAAAGTGTTTTTTGTGTATGACAATGTGCTTATGGCAGTAGTTGTTTTAAAAGAGAAAAACTTCTGTGTATGCACACCATGTCTTCATAAAGGGTTCTTATTGTAGTAATTTTGTTTCCATTCTTTGAAAATTCTCCGCATTTTTTGTCCGGTGATGAAGAAGTTGCAAACCAAAGAACTTTTTTCCAAAAAAACTATTATAATACGTATCAGCTTATCACGAAAATTATATTATCAAGTTGAGTGTTCAAAAAAATATCTGATAGAATTTCAGCACGTATGGTTTTGTTAACTGTTAACTGAAAATGTCACATGAGGTGTTATTAAATACAGATATAGTGTAAAGTGTAGACTATTGAAAATTAATAAAAGAATATATTCGTATTGCTGGAATAAAATATTGCTCCGCATCTGAAAAATGGTATGGTGAGTTTTGTCGGAAACTTCAAGTATCTCGTCATCAGGTATTCTGTTCCAAAAATCAATTGAAGAATGTTTATCGAATGCATAGACGGAAAATAAATATTTCAACGTATCTACAAAGTAGATTCTGATAAATGCCTGCTGAAAAACAGCTACCTCCTTGACTTGTACCTTGCTGGACATTGAATCCTATCTGACAGACAGATACCTCACATATGATACCAGAAACTACTGTATGAGTAAGTTGAAAAGAATAAATTTTCCTAAATTTAATCTCAAAATATTTATTTAATCATAAATATGTGTCTCTCTTCGATACGGTCTTCAACTCACCTTGAAACGATTAGAATACCGATGGAGATCGGAAGTAACCATTAGAAAAAAAAGTTTTCATCCAAATATGACAAAGATTTGCCTGAAAATTTGTCGTCGGATCCGATTGAGAATTTTACTGACTTCTTATTTTTCAGCACCTACACATCATTCACACCGATATGAAACCGGAGAACATCATGTTGGTGAACCACGCCAAAGAGCCTTACAAGGTGAAAATAATTGACTTCGGAATGGCTATCAACGTGAAAGACGCAGCGTGCAATACATATTTGCAGACGCGTCCTTTCCGGGCTCCCGAAGTCATCCTGGGGGCTCCTTTCTCTGAGGCAGTGGATATGTGGTCTCTTGGGTGTATTGCTGCAGAACTCTACCTCGGCTCTCCTTTATACCCTGGTCTATGCTCCTACGACCAGATTAGGTTCATCTGCGATGTTCAAGGATTGCCCCCCGCGGACTTGTTGTCTCGCGGTTTGAACACTGTCGAGTTTTTCCGCCAGGAATTGAACAATGGCACCAGTTCTTGGCGGTTACAAACTAAGCAGGAATACGAAAAGTCTACAAGCATCGAACCTAAGGAAAACCGACTCTTCAAGTTCCAGAGCTTAGACGAAATTGGAGAATTTCGAATTCGGGAAGATATCACCGATGACCAGTGGCTGGTCGAGGCAGTTGAGAGAAAGAGATTTGTGGAACTTCTGAAGCAGGTGCTACAAATGAACCCCGTAAGTATGACTGATAGAAGTATTTCTTACAATAATTCGTTGTCTTTGCAATATTATGTTTACAATTGATTTATCAAATCAATTCTGAAGTTCAAACTTCCTCAGTTGGAAATGTGGTAGCCTTATTACGTCACGAGGTCAGGAGCAGTTGGTCTAAGTGTTACTCAAGAACAACAAAGTCCTATATCCATAAATGTGAGTTCCTGAAGTTGTTATGTAATCGTAGGTTTCTTTGGATTTGAATTTCTTGTTGAATCAAAAGTCAATTAGATATCTTCATGTATAAAATATGGCAATTATTTGTTTCCACAAATAGTGGAAACAAAAAAGGAATTTTCCTTTTTTCTCTTCATTATTCAGCCGAGTTTTATGCATGTTCCTTTTCAATTCCTCCCTTCGGTACAGTACGATTATTATCCTTCATTTGAAATACATTTTATTTCTTCAGTTTCGAAAATTAATGGAGATTATCATTTTTTCATGAAGACAGTATAAATTGTTTCGTATGACTCTCTTCAGTCGTTGTTATCCAAAAAGTTTCGAAAGACGGCTATGAGGGGACCAAACAACATCATCAAGTAACTTCAAAACCTACAAACTTACCCAGACAACTTTATAATCTTCTTGAAAACAATACCTCAAAAATTCCAATTCTGTTCATAACATTCCTGGAAACAATTGTGAAAAGAAATATATTAAGCTGACATCAAATTTATCACGGTATATATTAAATGAAGATCAAAATATGGAAAATTCTAGTACATCACTGAATGAATATATGATTCAGGACAATCACAACACTAACTATGAAATCATAAAACTATTAGCTTTTGAATCTAATGGAAAAAAAGATTCATCAAAGAATAATTCTACATTGAAGCAATTAAAATCTTCATGAATAGACATCAATGATTCAATATAGATACAATACACATTATTATAATTTAACTTTTTGTTACTTGAGAATTTCAAAATTAACTTATATTTCCCCGTAATTCGAACCTTTTTGTAAAGAAACAACAAGGAAGTCATTCGAAACAAATTGCCAAGTCTGCGCATATTTCATCCGAATAATTCAGGTACTCTTTATGAAGACATGACAACCACTATTGATTGTCGAAACGGAAAATAGTGAATTCATTTTCTGGAAATTGATGAAAATTGAACTATTCGTTCCGGCCAGTCTCAGCTTCCTACACTGTTGGTTAATGGACTGATACCTATCAGATACAATCCAACGTCCTGCGTGATAGTAGCCAGGGGAGGGAGTAGTTGTTTTCTGCTAGAAGTCACTCCATCAACCTACAGTATAGGGAATGGAGACTGGCCTGAACGAATTGTTTCTTTAGATAATTTGATATGTGATCTTACTCTTAGCTCATGTGGCCATAGGCTAAGAGTAGGTATATGAATATTCACTTTTGAATCATAAAGTATTTTGAGGTTTTGTAAAGGAAACCTGATGAATCTCACCGGGTTATTCAGAGTATGGAAGAGGTTATTAAAATTCTGATTGGTTAGACCTTCAAGACAGTTGTTTTATGTGGCTACCTCTTCTACTGCACTTGATTGAAAGCAGAATTTAATTTTTTCAATATTCTTTTCCATTTCAGGGAGAACGAATCACTCCTATAAGAGCTCTCCGTCATGAGTTCTTCCCTCAGACACGTGTTGTTCGTAAAAGGTTGCACACAACGGTAAGCTACAGTTATTTTTGTTCATTATCCAAGAGTATACATATTCACGTCATTTCATCATAGCTGATACAAAAATTCATGAATTTCAAGCGATATTTTCAAAGAACAAATTTGTGATTCATTATATATTCAACAGTAAACAGTTTCACAAAAACGCAACACATGTTTGGCTATACAATAGCTACTAACTAGGTTAGTATAAACACGACTGAAGAAGCTATTGTTTAGCGAAACCCGTGTTGCGTTCTCGTTGAACTGTTTAGTGAAAATATCAATGAATTGTTTCTTTATCGTGAGATTTTCACTAAACAGTTTTACAAAAACGCAACACGTGTTTTGTTATACAATAGCAACTAATTAAGCTAGTACAGACACGCCTGAAGAAGCTACAATAACTATTAAGTTAGTATAAAGTGTTTCTTGAACATCAATCATCGGCCTCCACGAAATAAGCATACACTTGTTTCTACGAGTCGTCCTTTTTCAAAAATCATCATCACCTCCTGATGTTCTGCTGTGGCAAGAGTTTTCAATAGATTCAAGTTACATCTGAAGAAGCTACAGATTCACTTCGTAACACTCATGTTATCTGGAAACTGGTGTTTATGTGATGGAATTGGCCGATACTTCATGAAAGTATTCAAAGTAACACTCCATTGTGAGATTTCCACCGAACAATTCGCAAAACCGCAACTCGTGTTTTTTTTTCAGGCTTGTTCATTATAAGGAAATGAATGTTTCGAAATGAATTTCGAAATATTAATCTCTCCCAACTACCTACACAGTATGGTCTGGTAAACAAACGTCTAGCGGAAAACAACTACTTTCCCGGCCAATACCACGCTGGATATTGGATTATAAACAACAGACATTTATGCAAGATTCCTTACAGATGCTAGTCTGGAAAATGTTTCTTATTCAACCAGCAGCAGGACCATGCTGATGAAACTTACCTAAATGTCTGTTAACAATCTTTCTCTCAGACGATTGTTTCACATATGTAGCGGAGCCGTGTTGAAATTGATCGAGTCCCAGACACTTTGCTGTCTGGGTAGGATCTTTCCTGTACTGACAAAACCGTGGTCTACAGGTGATCTACTTGAATAATTTCAGCACTAGCACTAGCCTGTGTGAGAAACGTATAATAATAATACAATAATAATAATACATTAATTTTGATGATAAAACATATAGAAATAGTCCCTTATAATCTGAAGAATAAATAAAATCATCTAATGTATAAAAAGCATTGCCGAGTAAATATATTCTCAAGCGAGTTTAAAAATAGAAATATTGGCGGAACTAACTATTTCTTCAGACAGTTTATTAAAAATCTTCAGGCTCAAATATTCGGAAGATTTCGAAGTCACAACATTTCTAAAATTAAAATATTCGTCATGGTTAAAATTTTTGATTCTTTGAAAATCGGTCTACAGGATGCTCTGCTTGGGGTATCGCAAATAATTTTCAAAATGCGTTTTTGTGCTATATCGTAATCGGAAGGCTACTTGTGCATGATATAATACGGATAATTGTTCTCGTTACAAAATGTTCTTAAGTTTTCGGAACATAAAACATAATGAGTTCAATTCTGAGATCAAGTTTGTACAACGTTATTTTCAGTTCAAACCAGCTTCTACAGTAATTCCAAGAAATTCAACTGATAAAGTAGTCTCAATCAAGATTTCATCAGTTTTCATTGTTACAGTTACAGTTTTGCATTGTTTTTGGTAGTTGTGAAATCGAATTATATTCGTCTTATTACTATTGAAATAGAGAGACTTCTGATCACACCATGAAATGAAGTTACCAACCGCAGTTGTACACTTTTGTTCCAAGGTATTTTCACATTCGTCAAAAATAAATATATTGGTGTCATCTGCATATATAATGAAGCTGGCAGAAGATTCGATATTATCCATGTCATTCGTATAGAAAAAAAAATAAAATTGGCCCCAAAACAGAGCGCCCTATCAAAAATTATCAAAGGACAAAAAATCCTAATGATGATCCAAAGAATAGTCCTTTGATTTTTTCCGGACGTTTGATAAACACCCTATATACGTTGCGACATGATATCATTACCGTGCGAGAAACAAACTCTTCTATCTCTTTTTGAAGTTTTTTAGTGAACTTTCTGTCGTACAGCTGAACACGCGCTTTTGTGAACTTTGAAGTAGAAATCTCGTATTAATGGATTTTCATGAGTTCTATCATATTCATGAAGTAATACTTGAATAAATCTGATACCGCCAAATATATCATAAGTCTATTATATCGATAACATTGAACATGAAACTCCACAAAAAATGTTGATATTTCTTCTTAATGGGAGTCACTGGTTTTTCAAATCCTACCATGCTGAATTGAACTATGAAAAATCCATGTATCTATGAATTTATCAAATCTATCATAAAATGGTATCTGAATTTTTCATTTTTGTCATTATAAATGAAAACGATGGCATTAAGAAAGCTTCTGCATTAAACATAAAGTTTTTTCTATATTACAACATTTTTCACACAATTTTTGAGTTATTAATAATTTTTATATTTATAATAATCAACAGCTGAGGTGGAAACATACATTATCACAAAATATTTTTTATTGAAAAACCAAGGCAGTATATTAGTTTCCATAGAATCTTTTGTATAAAGGATATTATTGATATTTTTCACAGTTTCATGTTCGATAGTTGTATAGATACACACAGATCCGTTGTACTGACAGTAATTTATTTTCAGGATCCTCCCAACGATCAAGATCCACATCTGCCATTCAAGAAAAGGAAACATGTATGTAACTGTGTCACATTAGAGAAATAACTTTCAACAAATTCTCTTTTCAGTTTTTGGAAAATTGTGTGTAGTCAAGAAGCTGAAAGGGAAATCGCAGCTTTTTCAGCAATGTAATGTTAATTTGATACCACTATCGTCACAGTTTCAATGATCAGATTTGGCTACTGAAGAACCACCTACTATAGGACTGCCCGTGCTTCATCCTTAAAGAGATGGGATGAAATCAAAGTATGCAATCTTGCCAGGATCACCTTGGGCGACCCTGGGAAGCTGGCGCCGAAGAAATATCTGGCAATGACCAGGAAAAATCTACGCCTAAAAGTAGGATTTCTAACTGGCCACTGTCAACTAAGGAAACACCTCCATACTATGGGGCTAGTGGACACACTTCTATGCAGGATGTGTGAGCATGAAGATGAGACGGTCAGGCATGTCCTGTGCGAGTGCCCGGAGTTATCGTCAATAAGAGAGTATGTGTTCGGCGAGTCTCGGCCTACACCTGCCG